CCACTCTACTTCAAACTGCTCAAATGCATTGAATCGTCAGTGGGTGCAATTTGTTCTGCACAAGCTCAAGCACTTATTTTGTACAGTTTGTTCTTGTTGTCATCAAATGATACATAATGATCCTTTGTGGGGAACCCAAACATCATTTAAAAAAATAATTTTCATCTCTGAAGTCCCTCTTTATAAGCCATCATCTTTTGTGTTTGTGTGTCAAGTAGGTCATGACACATTCAGTTTAGTGATTGAACTTCAACTAGAAGCCCTTGTGATAAAAAAAACAAAACAACTATTTATAATAAAATGAAACCTGTGCAGATAGAATTGATCTGCTATTACACTTTATATTTTGAATTGACTGAACTGAGTGTAAATCTCCTTTATTAGGAGCATTGTTTTATTTCTGTTTGCCTAAAATTATATTTTCCTAATATTTATAGGAGAACAGTGCTGTGTGTCTCTGTTTAGCCCCACTAGCAGGTGTAGGCATAGCAATATTTTGTTGCAGAGGCTCCCAGTGCTCAAAAAAAGAATCTGAACATTTTCGATGATCCAATGACTTCCCATGTACGGCTATCAACATGATAAAATTGAAATTTCAAAAATACCTGCAGAACTAATGCTTCCCATCAGCCTTAGCTACTTTGGGCTAGGCGCTGTGACATTTCACCCTGTTTTTATAGATCAAATACCTAGAAAATGAACACTTGACATACATCAGTGTGAAAAGAACTACGCCAACAGGCCCCGGGCTGGCCCCTCCCCCACTCACTCGCATTGACACATGTGAAACAGCAATGAGGGAGAAAATGAGGTGAACAGGACAATGTATGTTGAACAGTGGAACCAAAAGTTTTAACAAAGATATTTCACTTCAGTCTAACACTGTGTGTCCTCCCTCCACTCTCCTGCTGACTTGCACTCATTTACACCTTAACAATAAACACCATCCACGCTTACCATGCCATATTAGATCTGCCCCCTCTCTGTAGCACTCTTTAAATCATTGTTAAAAACAAATCTCTTCTCTTTGGCCTTCTTTCCGAGTTGAGACCGTTTTTAACACGGCAGATTTAATTTTATTTAATTTTATTCTATTTGCTTTTATTTTATTCTAATTTTACTGTTGGTATTTTGATGTATTGCGTTTTGCTGTTTTTCTCATTGTTTTCTTTTACTATGTGAAGCACTTTGGTCAACCAAGTTGTTTTAAATGTGCTATATGAATAAAGTCGACATTGACATTGACAAGTTATTAGGACCTGAGCAGTAGTGATGTTTACTTTGTGTTTGTTTGATTTGCTGGAGAGTTTATGAGACATGAGCAGACAGACACACACACACACACACACACACACACACACAGAAACCCACACATTGATTTTTGTGATAGACCTAACTTAGTTTCCTTGTACAGTTTACAGCTTTCGTTCTCTGAGAATTTCTTTCATATCCAGGCAAAATTATTGTACACCGAAGTATGCTTAACTATATCAATATTTGAACAACTCAAATGGAATCAAACCAGCCCCAATAAAGAAATTACCAATGCTTGAGAACTGTCAAGAAAAGGTATAATAGGTGTACTTTGGGTGCATCTCAATGACAAAGGTATAGGCGCACCAGTGCAGCCGATGTAAAAAGTTAGTCTGGAGCCCTGAATCAAAAAATGTTGAATTACTTCATCATTCATCATATCAGTTATTTTTACGCACTAATTTCTCAATACAGAGGTAAATTATTTAGCCCAAAAATCATTTAATAAAACATTCAGAACCTTAATATTTGCCGTTGGCGCAGTTGTCAGATGGTGGGAATTCTTAATGTGTAACACATCAAAGACCTTGATTGACAGCCAGTGTGAAGTGAGCAAATTAAAAAAGAGGTAAAAATGGATGATTACAATGATTTAGCATGAATAAGAATTCGGGTGTGCCTTGCATTTTTTGGCTTGCCCTGCGGTGTGGCTTAGGCAGATAAAGTTTGACACTAACACGTTGGAGGCAGGATTTATGAGCTATACTGCATCCAGCCACATGTGGTGATCAAAACGCTTTGGCTTCACTTTTTTGGAGCTGTGTGATCCATCTTTACATACATGCTAACATGTTAAACCAAGATGATGATTATATTATACCCGTTCAGCATGAACACGTTAGTATTGTGTCACTGTCAGCATGCTAAAATAAGCTTTAAGCTCAAAGCACTGCTGTGTGTAAATAATGTCTCACAGAGCTGCTGCCTGTAGAAGGTGTGTCCTGCTGTAAAATAAGTCATGTTTGCTTTATCTATTTTCTTTTCTCTGTTATTAGAATAACAGAGCATTTTTTATTTTCAATTGTGTGCTTTACAAAAAACATTATAAAACTCATGATAATTATAATAATGATAAAAATAAAGATAATAACAGCAATAGACATCACAATATAAAAGCTTTTTTGTAAAGATGTGTCTTAAGAAGTGAGATAAAACAGGTAACCGATTCTGCAAGTCTAATGTAGGGCCCCCTCACAGCAATTGTTGTCTGTTATGTAAAATAGTCCAGACACCTGAAAGATTAATCCATTACTGTTGAGCTCTGAAGAATTTTGAAGGATTTCCTTATTAGGAGGTTAGACTAAAGTTAGGTTAGTTAAACTGGATATGTGGAGAAGAGGCTCAGACGTTCATGTCAGAATTAATATTAACTTCAGACAAGGTTTCTTCATCATTTACAACTCTAAGACACAGAAATCTTTCCTTTCAGTCTTTAGCCTTCCAATCATACTTGAACCTCTGGAGTTGTCTACACACCCATCAGATGATCAGTCACCTTCTTGGTTTGACTGAGTTGGTACTGAACCTCTCCTCTTTCTATTCACCAACTGCCGAGTATAGTTTTACCAACTATAGTTACTTTCCCCAAGCTCTGTGTCTCTGCTGTTCTCCACTCTCTCATACCTGCCCTACTTTCACACTGTCCTCACAATTTACAAGTTTCACACTCCTTCACTCTCACCTCTCTCTCCACCTTTCACACAAGCACGCACATACGCACACACACACACACACAGAAGCCTCATTTTTACCTCAAAACAGAAATACAAATACAGTATATACGTACACACAGTATGTATGTGTAAGCACTGTACATCTTTCTAATATACATGCAGATTCTTAACATGACGTGTTCCAGCATCGTTATAGTTGTAGTACAGTGCAGTACGGTGGGTGCTGTACAGTTAAACAGGACAGTGCATAACAGCAAAGGGAAGGAAGAGGTTAAACCCTGATCGAGCCTTGTTGTAAATATGAAGTCACACAAATACCAACATGCATGGGTAATTCTTCTTCTGGCTTGTTTTCTCTGACAGCTTGGGCTACGTAAAACCTCTCACATATAACATCAGACCAAACCTGAAGAGCAAAACTGGGTTTACTATGTAGAATCCACTGTTCTAAATAGATGGAACACAGACCTCCTTCAGCTTGGCAGCGTGTAGTGTGCTGGGACATCTCAGGGTGTTGGGTTCAGTTTAATGCTGTGAAAAAGGGGTGCGGTAGGTAGATACGCCAGGGAGTCCAAATATGTATTCAGGTGTGAATTAGTGTGTCCTTTAAGGCTTAGAGTATAGCCAGACAGGTCTTGTGTTTAATGTATCCTGCATTTGTTTGACATTTCTGGTTTGATTCAGAATAAAAAGGTTCATACATCCCTTATGTTTATGCATGTGAGATTCAAAAGGCTAGATTATCCTAAAACATCGCATTTACTTTTTATCATCAGACAGATTTCATAATGACACTGTAAACTGAATGTAAATGATTGGTTATCCAACACCTCACCCACCCAGTAGCTCTGGCTAAACGTTGCTGATGTTTCAGTGGTGATTACATAAAACAATAGAGTCTGCTTCCATGTGGATGTTGTTGAGCTGCTTTTACTCTTAAATGTGAGCATCACATTAAAATGTAATGATGGACCTCAGTGTGAAAGCAGACTGCGGCCTGTCATGGCCACAGAAAGAGAGAGAGATGCAGCAAGAGAAAGAGCGAAAAAAAAACAAAGAAGGGACAAGAGGAGCGAGTGCAAAACAGACAAAAGTGAGAGAGTGTGTGTGCGTCTGTGTGTGTGTAGAGAGTGAAAGAGCCAGGCCTAGTTTTTAGTGTGTGATCTAGGCCATTATCTGTGTTAGCACTAGTGGGGCTCCGACAGGCTCTGTGGATCCTGCATAACAATACCTTTTATGAGCTTCTATGTGTGTGTGTGAGTGTGCGCCACTGTAGGCTCACACACGTGCGTTCATGCATGTTATCTCCATTGTGGCATACATAATGTACGCATGCGCCCCTGCCACTGAGTTTGTTAAGAACACTTGTGTGCGTGGCTGCATTTTGTCATGTGTGTGTAAATGTAAGTGTGTGTGTATGTGTATGTGACTCCTCACGTGCAGCTGTGCACTCTTGCTGTATCACCCCGTCGTCAGTCAACCCCCTTCTCCAGCAGCGCCCTGGGGGCCTTCATTATGTAAGAAAGACATTACTGCAGAACAGAGGCAGGCAGCCCTGATAACTCTGGCAGCCCCTGCTTCAATACAACATGTTTAGGTTTCCATCACACACACACACACACACACACACACACACACACACACACNACACACACACACACACACACACACACACACACAGAGTCAAAGCCTGCAGCAGAGGTGTGATCAGGATAATGTTGAAGATTGAAGCTTGTTGAAGTATACAGGAAATGCCAATAAATCATGTTCTGCATTTTAATAAATGTCCTTCTCTTTTTTGCCCGCATCAACCTCTCTCCCTCCCTCTGTAATCTTCTTCACCTCCACCCATACATCCACTCATTTAAACACTCCTCCTCTTTCTTAATCTCATATATCTGATATAATTTATCTCCCTCTCTCCATCACTGCCTCCATCTTGTGCCTCTATTCCTCTCTGCACCTTCTTGTTTCTCTCTCCTTACCCACCTGGCCCCCCTCATCTCTCTCCAGCGGTCCCCTTCCCCCTGGCCCACCGGCTGACCATGAAGGAGGTGTTCGATGCCGAGGGCCGGCCGCGGGTGGACTTGCTCAAAGCTCATCTCACCAAGGAGGGCCGACTGGAGGAGGCTGTGGCCCTGCGCATCATCGATGAGGGTGCCGCCATTCTGCGCCAGGAGCGCACTATGTTGGACATTGAGGCGCCAGTCACGGGTATGGTACAGTGATGAAACAGGAGGGAGCACTGAGTGTAAATAAGTCTGTAATATAGTGAAGAATTACAGGGAGGTAACAGTAGCTAATCCTGATATCAGTAAATGACAGTTTGACATTTAGGGACATATGCATTTGTTCTCTTGCTTAGAGTTAGATGAGGAAACTGATGACACTGGTTCATGTCTGCACAGTAAATACAACAGTGAATGTAAACAGCTTAGCTTATCATAAAGACTGGAAATAGATCGCTCATCAATTAACCTCTAATATCTCATTTGTCCAACTTGTATGAAAACTACTTTTAAGCAATGTGCCGGACTATTTATTTTCTTGAGTGGTAATGTCCTGCAGTTTCTACTTCTGGACAGGAACTATTCCAGAGCATAACATTAAATAGCAAAAAGAATCAGCAAAGGCAGTGTTTTGACTGAAAAGACCCAATCAGTGAGTGGTTGTGAGCGTCTCCATATTTGTCCAAATTCCCTGCCAGGGAAATGGTATGGACCAGGGGGTATGTGGAGAGGAGAAGTAGATTGAGAAACAAAATGGAAAACAAGTTTCTTAGACGATGTCAGAGAAGACAGACAAGCAGGCAGGTCGGACTCATGCAATCTCAACCTCCTGACACCACCTAGTTAATGTACGTATGTGTCTCTGCTTGTATATGTGTGCATTTATGCAAGTGCGAGCGTTGAGACAATTTTGAGTGGGCTGCTGTGCCCACGCAGTGTGGGAACAACGCTCAGCTTTCACAGGTACAGATCCCCGGGGACGAGGACCGACAGACAGGCAGATGGAGAGACAGTCGATCATAAGCAGCTTAGTACAGCTGTTCTCAAACCTGCTCGTTCCCAAGGAGCATCATATCGATCCCTGTTTCTAAGTTTCTCCACTTGTACAGATTCTGACCCAGAAACACTAGAGGGGATTTTATTTGTCCAAGCTTGATTTAAAAAAGATTTCAGAGATAGAACCACAGAAAAAAAGTGCAGATTCATGTCGACAAGCAAAAGTAATGTTGAGAAGATATTGAGAAAACAGCTTAGCACTCGGATTCAGTCTCTCTAGAAATGCTCTAAGATCGACCATCTATTGAACAGACAGGCAGGTGGATGGGTAAAATCTAAGCTGACAGGCTTTTAGGGTGTCACAGGAAAGCGTCTGGAAGAATACTGAGACAGGTCTTAGAAAGCCGACGGGTTCGCTCATGCAATTTTTTGCATTCCCAATTCCCAGTTCAAATTAAAACGAATGCTGAGGAGTCGACACAAAAACAGAGATTAACATGGCAAGCAGATGGAGAAACGCCAGAAGCCAGACAGATTTGAAATGACCATCGCAAAATGACTGCAGAGCAATTGAAAGGAGAGGCCAGACAGATGGTGAGGGAGGTGGATGGGTAGATATATGCTGGCACTTCATACAGATGGACACAGTCCTGAAGTCTTTCAGAATATGAAGTGTTCAGCATGTGAAGCCAAATCTGAATTAGATCCAATTCTCAGACAAAGATATTGTAGAAAACACAGCCGAGAGAATCAGAAAAGAATGAACAGAATCAGACCTTATGAGGTTCTATCCAGAAAGTTTGCAGAAATTGATGTTTTGAAAACTACAGGTGTTGGAGGACAGAATTGGTGATCAAGGTGCTTTGGCTTCACTTTTTGGGATCTGTCATGCTGTCCATCTTTATATACCGCCTATGATTTAAACCAAAAATATTCTTTTATTTGCTTGAAAAATGAATCAAACTACTAATTGGCCATCCAATCATTTTCTATAGATGAACTAACCAACAATTATTCTACTAATCGTTTCAGGTCGAAATATTCCCTCGCATAGCAATAAAAGCATTTAAGGTGATTTGGCAGACGCTAATTTTTAAAAGCCTTTTTTAATCCTTGATGCATTTCAAACCAAGGCCTTCAGACGATCAAACCAGATTCTTTTTATCATGTGTTTTCTGTGTTTTTTTTCATCAGACAGATGAGTGGTGTTTCTAGCTCAGTACACAGGACACATATTCCTCTGCAGATGCAAATCAGGCCATATGGAGTCACCGAGGCAGAGACGGTCCCACATTTGTTAGCTGAGTTGTGTGGCAGCTCTGAGCGGCAGTATTAATGATGTGTGTGCTGTGTCCTCAGTGTGTGGAGACATCCATGGCCAGTTCTTTGACCTGATGAAGTTGTTTGAAGTGGGAGGTTCTCCTGCCAACACACGCTACCTCTTCCTGGGGGACTATGTGGACAGGGGCTACTTCAGCATTGAGGTGAGGACGGACACTGTACACACTTTAATGCAGCACATCTCCATTTTACTGGGTGTGTATTCACTGTATTACATAAACAGTGAGATTACAACTAAATGATTGTGCACTATTGCCCTCAAATCCATCAGGCCTTTTCCAGGGGTGAGGTTTATGTCACTCTGTGGTATACAGTTACACTACTGTGCTGTATTTAATGTATTATAAATGTACAAAAGGTACTTGAGTTTGGCATTGACACACCACAATGTGTGTCTGACAATGTGCACATATACTGAGGTGATGTAATCTAAAATTCATGGACAGGGAGTCTTATGATGACGATCAGCTTTCAGGCACTATTCAGATTTAGTAGCCTGCGCTTTCCTATAGGACACAACAGACAAAGAAGGATTCAAGGTCTGTAGTCATTGACAAGAGTAGAACATGCTGCTGGCTGAAACATATATGGAAGCTGAGAGGAGACAGGAGACTATCCACAGGGCTGTTTGGATATTTGATTCTTTAGATGTGAGTGTGAATGTCTGAGCTGGTTGAGCCACCATGACATGATGTGTCACATACAGTGAGGTCGGATCAGTATTTAGGTCAGTCACCTTCCCAACACACTTTAAGAACTTATAATGAGTTATTAGTACTTTTATTTTAAAAAATGGTACAAGCTACAGCTGTTTTCAAGTCTATTTTTTTCTGCTAACATGATCATCACAGTCTGATTTGGGATGATTCTTGTCAAAATGCTGTTTCTGTCTATCTTTAGACTGGAGTACGGATCAATTTGCTTTCAGCTCAATTAATTTGGACAGTGGATGATTCATTCACGGAAGGAATTCCTAGAAACGGCTCCATTGTGATTCTCTGTGTCACACTTTGGATCTCCAGTTTGAATTTAATTAGGGAGAACTGAAAGTGAAATGACCACAAACTGTGTCTCATACAATAACTAACAAGGAATAATGTGCTAAAGCAAAAGTATTTTTCTCTGTAGTCTGGGGTTTGAAGGAATAGTTTGACATTTTACAGAAAAAATTATAATATGACACTATAGCTACAATAACATTAGTTTAGCTTTGCATTAAGACAGCAGAAATTGGTAAGCAGTTAGACTTACCTAGACTATTTTCCCAACAGTAAAACAAACCTCTGAAAACACAAATCAACATATATGTTTCATCCAAAATGGAAAGTGTTTTTTTGTTAGCTTAGCCAAGACATTATAATGCACCTACAATTTCTAACTACTCCTTTGAGATTACCAAAATAATATTTATTTCCCAAGTGAGGATGTTTAGTTTAATTTTGACATGACTAATTGTATTAAATTGTGATAACATCCCAATTAGAATGAAGTCACAGCATGCTGTGTTTATTATAAACAACAAAATCTCTTTTAAACAGATTAAGATGAAAACTAATTTAACGTTAACTTTGAAAACATTTAAAGATAGTTCTGGTTTTGTACCCATTGACAGGACAGATTTCTGTCTGAAATAGTTAGGAAAGATGTACAGCATGCAGAGGACTCAAGCCTCAGTATATGGGATGTCTGCTTTATTTCCATGAACCACTAGATGTTTTAAGAAAAATTTAAACTTAATCCAAGTCAGCAAAAATAAAAGGCTTTGAATACGACAAATACTGTTGATTTCAAGAATTCATAACTACAATCAGTAAAAAAGACTAATTTTCCAGGTTTTTACTTTGTTAAAATTCCTTTTTTTAAAATGTACTCAAAATTCAAATGTTAGCCCTTTTTTGTCAAGTTGTACTTTCCACCGAGCTGCTCTCTCTAAGCAGCTTTTATTTCTCTGTCCTGGTTGAACCCTCAGTGTGTGTTGTACCTGTGGTCACTGAAAATCCTCTACCCAAAGACGCTCTTTCTTCTACGGGGAAACCATGAATGTAGACATCTGACCGAATATTTCACCTTCAAACAAGAATGTAAGTTGCTCTTGTTCCCTCCACATGTTTTAGATTGCTTCATCACTTCAACACTTCTGTTGTTCTTCCCTCTGCTTTCCTACTTCATACAATATCATCACATCATTTAAAATTAAGGATGACTAATGATTTATTTTTATTGAAAAAAGACTTTATTAGATGTCAAAAATGAATAAAACTGTCCATCATAATTGCCCAAGGCATAAGTTAAAATAACCTTTTGGAAACAACAGTTTGACTTTTATTTTAAGTCATTTTTGAAACAATCAGACCTTGACAATCAAACAAGTTATTATGTTGTAGGTAGTAAGCTCGTTAGCTGAATATGCTAGTGTATGCACCAATTAACATTTTAACTAGCTCCTTAGACATCTGCTCTGGTATCCTTAGTTTTGCAAAAAAGTAGAACTTCTTCACATCTCTCAAAAACTCTTGAGATGTTGAGTATCACTCTCATTAGACACACTGCTGTGCTTAGTTACACTCTGATTGGATAATTTGCTGCTCAGGAGAGAGGTTTAGCAAAGAGTCAATTAATCTTCTGCCAATCAACTGATCAATATATCGACTGACTGTCTCAGCTGTAAACATTAATACTTTCTGGGGCTTTTTCCTCTTATCTTCCTCCCCCTCAAAGTTCTTCCTCATCCTCCCCCATTTTCCACTCTCCACATCCCATTTCTCCTCCTCTTATTTTTCATCCCTCTTCCATCTCCTCTTCCCACCCCCAGTCCTTCTCTCTCTCTCTCTCCATCTCTTTCTGTCTATGACTCTCTCCTCTGCCAGTGAGTTTCGCAGTCCTGTGCGAGAGTGGGTGATTAGCAGCAAATTAATTTGGCCTGTAATGATTGGCTCAGGGACTTACTCCTCTGTGTCTGATTGGCCAAGGGACGAGGAAGCTAATTTCCCCTGGTGCTCATGGCGAATAGTGGTCGCCCTCAATTACCATCTGCTGTGTGTATGTGTGTGTGTGTGTGTGCAAGTGCATGCACTGTGACTGCATGCATGTGCAAGAGTGTCTTCATAAATGTTTGAGTCCGTGTGTGTGTGTGTATAAGGAGCTGACAACTGGTGGACTAGCAATAATGAGTTCTTGCTCTACACGGGGCAGATGGAGAGGTTGACAAACACACTCCTCGCTGTCAAACACACACACACGCATGCACACAAACACTGAAACGCTCCACAATACTGGCTTTGATTTGTGTACATGTCGTTCCCATGTCCTCGCACTCCCCCTCCTCTTTCCCATCTCTCTCTCCTCGTTGTCGCCTCTCCTCCCTCTCTCCCTCTCACCACTCTTAACCTATCCTCCTTCTTCTGTCTCCTCCCATCAATCTCTCTTTATGAAATTATCATTCTCCCTTTCCTCTCCTCCCTGCTCGCTGTCATCCAAAATCCACCCTTCTTTCTCTCTTGTACTTCTCTCTCCATCCTATCTCCTCTCAGCTATTTTAATTCTGTGATATTGTTTTGTGTCAGATGTATTGTTACGCCCATGTATGAAATGTCCTTAAAGATGCTGCTTTATCGACATCCCTGCCAAATCAAAGGAGTTTTTCATGAAGCAAAGATACTGCCTAACAGTGACGCCTCTACGCTGCTTCATACGTATATTTGGGTCAGATTTTGTCTGTGAGTCTTTGCATCAATATGTTGCCTGTAATAATATGCTATGTGCTCTAATATGGAGCATTTCTTCTCTGGGAAGTGGCATTTTTAAATCATTCAAGAGGAGAGAAACAGGTCACGCGTTATGTGGAAATCCTACATGTTAGCGCCTGTATACTCAAGTGAGCTAAAGTATGTTTTGAGAGGAAAGTCTGTGTGAGGCCTTAAGATGACTCAGTTCTTCAGAACCGTCCATGTCAGGCTTAAAGTCTGTTTGTTCCCTGCATTTCTTGTCGCACAGTGTGTTTGTGTCTGATAGGAAACAGTCACACCCCGAGTGACAGGGACCGACTTTAAGTTTGTGGGGATAGTGGCTGTTCAAAACACACTCAGGCGCTTCTTTTTTTTCACATCTGAAAATATCTCTTCACGGCTCTATCCACTTCCAGGTAAGATCAAGTACTCGGAGCAGGTGTATGAATCCTGCATGGAGGCGTTTGATTGCCTGCCCCTGGCAGCCCTGATGAACCAGCAGTTCCTTTGTGTGCATGGGGGGCTTTCACCAGAGATCCACACGCTGGACGACATCAAAAAGGTACAAAAAGACACACACGTATACAAAGTTTGAATGAACAATGCTGTCCTGAGATTAGGTTTGTGACATCTGCTTTACATAGAAGTATTGTGCCATATAGAGCAGAGGAAAACTGCTTTGGAAATTTAGAACAAGTACATAAAAGAGTTAAAAAAATAGGCAGCACTATCTACACTCTAGAAGCTGTGGTCAGACTTACTTCACTCACACAGACACAACTAATATCTAAAGCAACAGAGTTATCTCTGATGTAAAACCATGTATAATGAGCAATGACGCATCTCCAGTTCCTCCAGTTTTACAAAAATGAAGCTATGGGTGCTGCCAACTTGCGCCTTTCATATCGTTTGGAGCCAGAGTCTGTGGAGTAGTCATTGTGGTGTGCTGTGACGGTATTGAGGTCCTGCTGATACATGCACTCGTCCAGGTCTAAGTCATTGTTATATTTTTTATTTATGCATCAAATTGCTTACTCATTTAACATAAAACTAAATGTATCAGATACATGCTCACTAGAAGATCAGTGTGATAACAACTACCTAAAATGACAAAATTAAGAAAAATGTATTCTGTGTCCTATGGTGGTGGGGTTAATGACCTATACTGCAGACAGACACCAGGGGGCAATGAAGATTTGGCTTCACTTTTGGGAAAATGTCATGTCGTCCATCTTTACTAGCTGTAGGACAACCATAGCTAGCCTTCACTAAAGCTAAGACTAGGTTCACTTATTTATTATTCTCTACTATCTCTGTAATTCAGATCTCAACATTTGACTCAAGTTCATCCAATACACTGTGGGTAAGCTAACTCTACCCACAGCCTGCACTGTAAAGACAGAATTCATAAGACACCAGAAGATGCAGCAGTGAAAAAGATGCTCACACAGTCTGTATGTATACAGTTAATACAGAATACAAAGACACACACATGCACGCAGAGACATGAGAACACACATTTCCTCATCTAATGGCAGTGTTTCCATGGTGAATCTGCTGGTGTGACATCTTCTCCCCCCTGTGTGGTGAGGGTTGCCATGGAGATGCTCTGCTCTGACAGTATGTGTTTGTGTGCATTTGTGTGCACTATATGTTTGCTTTTTTTTCACCTCCGATTTATACTGTATTTGTTTATGCATATATGTGTGTGGTTGATGTGAACACTTTGTGTGATATATATTTGTAATTTGGTCCTATATGTAATTTCTGAGTGTGCTCATCTTTATATGAACTGCTGTGGCCCTGTAAGCTTACATTTTGTGTGTTTCTTTCTGTGCGTTTGTCTGTGTGCGTCTTGTGTCCTAGTTGGACCGGTTCAAGGAGCCTCCAGCGTTTGGGCCCATGTGCGACCTGTTGTGGGCCGACCCCCTGGAAGACTTTGGCAACGAGAAGACCCAGGAGTATTTTGGCCACAACACAGTCAGAGGCTGCTCCTATTTCTACAGGTACAGGACAAAATTACTCCTCAGGGTGACTTGGACAAAAAATAGATATAAACCCTGACAACTTAGTTTTGGAGAAAATTAGTGTGATTTAGAATGAATTTAGTCTGGTCACCTTGACATATCAGATCCCTGCACTTATGAAGCCCAGATACATGAACTGACCTGGTGTCCAAACAACCCAGACAGAAGGCAATATTCATATATTAAAAAAAATACACACCAGGAACAATATTCTTTCAAATTACTAGCTGGAGCATTCAGCAGGAGGTCAGGTTGGTTCTCTCGTATGTTGTGTAGGGCTCATTCAATATGTTTTAATGATGTGGGTGCCTCATGAGCGCCTGGTGTTTAGAGAGATGTGGCTTTCATTTACAAACCGGGGAACTAATAAGTTTTAGGTGGAATTCTGGTTGTTGGTTTGGGATGTCGGTTATGAGAAGAGAGACGCGTCCAGCCTGGTTACACCACATCCAAGATACGACAACAATGGTTGGGATTTGTACAACAGACAGGAAATCTTGGCCAGTTTACACACACACACACAGCACATTCACAAACACATACACACAGTTCCGTTTCAGCATGAAACGATATCCCACAATCCCTAGGGAGACTGCACGGTTCTGTTGCTATGACGACTGGCTACTCCTGCCAGATATGAAGTGATATTAAGATACAGTGAGAGAAAGAGGGAGAGCAACATGGGAGGAGGGTTGTGGTGGTGGTGGAAGGATGGAAGATGAAAGCTGTAATTCAAAAAATAAAAATAAAGGAATGTAAAAGACGCGGAGCTGAAGTTGAACTACAGATGAAGTGTTGGTGCTTTGGGTTCGTCCTTGAGTGTAAAAGTTGGTGTTATGACAAGTTGTCTGAGGAGAACACTGTGATTTTCTATGTTTAGCGGACACGGCATCAATCGACCCACTGGTGTGCATGGCCCCCACAGAGCTGAGGCCCATAAGCCCCCGCTCAGGCCTGTTTGTGCTCACCAATGACCCCTGCTGGTCCCAGTCAGACTTGACATTAGAAAATAAGAGGCCTACTCATCTCCCACTGCTTGACTTAACACACTTTAATCTGTCTTGTGGTTTACAACTGTCTTAATGTAATAGCAAATGGCACGTTTTCTATGTAATGCTATTTTTACTGGATCCTTTGGATATTTTTTCTCCTGGATGTTTTTCCTTTGCCATTTTTCAGAGTGCTTCACTCGCTCTAAGTCTCTCTCTCTCTCTCTCTCTCTCTCTGTCTCCAGTTACCCAGCAGTGTGTGAGTTCCTACAGACCAACAACCTGCTGTCAATCATCAGAGCACATGAAGCACAGGATGCTGGGTAAGCTGACTGACTGTCAAAGCTCAGTCCTTCTCTCGGCTTAAAAAGGGAGCACCATTTAATTTAATTGCTTACCTTGACATTTCATGTGCCTGCCTGTTATTTCTCTTTGTGCAGGAATTGGCACATTAAGGGGAAAAGAGTTTGCACAATTTTACCCCCTCTCACCATTAAACTGTTATTATTGCCATTGTTAGAGTTTGTCTCACAGATCATCAGGAACAAAATTCAGGTTAAATAACCAGCTTCTTGAAAACAGCATGTTAAGGCAGCAGGGCCATGTGAGGTTTGCACTACTAGTTCCATTTAAAAAAAGTGGGGGCAAAACAATTTCTGAAAAAATCCAAATGCATTATCAGCATCTGTTATCTCAGTGAAAATCCTCTAAATATAATGCTGCAATTAAGACAGAGCTATTCTGACTTGTGCTGTTTACTGAACCCATTAACAGTATTTATCATGCAGCAGGGTAGTCTGGGTAATCGTCCATCGGTCTGGGTGCACTTGGAAAAAGGTCAGGTCAATAGAAGTTATATTTTTAGTAGAATAAGCTGCTGCACTTGTACCTGAAATACCAGATTAGTCATGACTTTGTAATTGGTTTATACTTAAATGGAGACAACTGGTAGAGCAGCTTTTATGCTTTCAAATACTTATACGAGCTTGTGTTTATCATCATGTCTAATTTCAATAGGCTCTTTGCAGGAAACATAATTGTACTCACAATTATTTTTATTACCTCTGCCAAGGAGGTTATATTTTCTTCTGTGTTTGTTTGTTTGTTAACAGATTTACACAAAAACTACTGATTATCACTGAACTTGGTAAAGGGACGTGGTATGGGTCAGAAAAGATCACATAAAATTTTGGTGCAGATCCAGATCAGGGGCCAGATCCAGGGATTTTTGTCAATTTCTTAAACAATGAGAGATATGGTGTTTTTTATTACATTACGTTTTTTTACCCAGGTAATAATTCATGCATCTTGATAAAAAAAACAGGCAAGGAGACTGATATTACTGAGTGTTAAAAATGTGGTACTGCTTGACTGAATTTAAGGAGACTGTTGGGCCTTGCCGGAGGTATGCGCTCTACTGAGTGCCATTCTAGGACTCAAAGGTTTAACTTCTGGTGCTCACTCCTTCTTTCAAACACAAGGAGATTTCAGCAGCTCTACTTTACCCTGTCATTTTGCACTCACAGATTTTCTCAGCCATGCCAAGGATTCTGTTCTGCTATCATTTGCTTTTTAAACATGTGGCTGTCTAGTCTTCAAACGGCCCCTGTTTGGTTTAAAGGCCTCTGAAGCAAATCCTCTGGTTTTCCTCTATGGTGTAGGGTTTTATTTGAACGGCTGTAATGTGGGCGGTTTGTTTGTCCTGCTTGTTCCTCAGGTACCGTATGTACAGGAAGAGTCAGACTACAGGTTTTCCCTCCCTCATCACCATCTTCTCTGCTCCAAACTACCTGGACGTCTACAACAACAAAGGTCTGACAGTGACACGTGCACAATCTTGTCCTTCTTCTTGCACAACATGTGTGTTAGTGTTTAGGGAAAAGTCTAATACCTGTATGTGTGTGTGTTTAGCGGCGGTGCTCAAGTATGAGAACAATGTGATGAACATTCGTCAGTTCAACTGTTCTCCTCATCCCTACTGGCTTCCCAACTTCATGGACGTGTTCACATGGTCGTTGCCTTTCGTGGGAGAGAAGGGTACCACACACTTTAACACACACGCTCTTTTTCCTAGACTCTTCCACACACAAAATACACTGAAAGTACTGACACTAACATAATTATTTAAACAATTCCTTTAATTGATTTTGGTCGGACTGGTGTACACAGACACAAACAAAATTTGGATCAGTGTCATTTTGAAACATAAATCATAATATAGTGACACATTGACAACTGTAGCTTCTGGCCCCTATGTGAGTATAGATACATATTTTGCATACTTGTATTTTTATACTGAGTGATGTAATGACAATAATTGTTGCAGGAGGACAGACTATATGAAGGATTCATACATTTTCTGTTAAGTTAAATATTTATGTGGTGAGTAAAAAATTAATAAAATAGCTTAAGGGAGACTGATAAACCAGATTTGTATTTAAAACTACCTTGAACAACACAGTGACCACATTTTCTTTTAACAAGGACATAGCAGTCATGTAGTTTGTATTTCAATTAGGTTTTTAAAACAGTACCAAACTCTGTACCTCAATCTCAATCTACCACAACTAAACTAAACTAAACTAAACAGCACAAGGAACCATCTGTTTGATGATTCATGTCAAAATGTCTTTTTTATTTGAAGCATCACTTAATAATATTCTCTAAAAATAGCAGTGACATCAGCTCTAATAGGTAAACAACCCCTGCTTACTGGATTAGGGACATGTGGGTAACTAGAGTTTACTGTGATTTTCTCCTTCACTACAGCAGCTGTAGATAGATGACAGGAAATGAAGAGGGAGGGAGAGATGGGGACAACAAGAGTGTCCAGCTGGGTGTAAACCAGGGATACTGTAGGTTATGGTCCATATCCTAGACCTCTAGACCACCAGGGTGTCACCATGTCCCTAAGAAAGTGTGTGTCTCTCTTCGTCCTGCAGTGACTGAGATGCTGGTAAATGTCCTGAGTATCTGCTCTGACGACGAACTTGTGAATGACGGAGAGGAAATCTTTGATGGTAACAAACACGCAGCGCTGACATTAGAGCAATATAGAATTCATTATATTTGTTACTTAATGATATGTCATAAACTAGGTTTTTTTTAAAAAAACATTTATTTTGTTAATGTATGTCTGAGTATGTGTTTGTTGGTCTTTCAGCCAGTGCAGCAGCAGCAAGGAAAGAGGTGATCAAAAACAAGATCCGAGCCATTGGGAAGATGGCCAAAATGTTCTCCGTTCTACGGTGGGTTGAGTCCTGGTTGTGTGTGTGTGTACTGTAATGGAAAACTTGCATATGACCTTAGCTTGAACTCTTTCCTATGTCTGATCAATGCTCGTGTGCTGTGTTCAACAATAACTCATGTAGAAACACAATTGTGCTCGCATAAGAGGAATTGTCTGGTGTACGTGCAGACGGACGATTCGAAACTAGACAGAAACTTTTTACTGTTTCAACCATACAATGCCATGACTGTTGCTTTGCACTTGGCAGATGTAACCTCAGTGTTCATGTTCTTTCTCGATGATGATCCTCTTGTTGACCCTGATCTTTGCAGTAGCAAACTTCTTCTTTCATACAGAAGCAAGAGCAGGCAGCTTCCTGTTTTAACAGGTGGCTTCAGTTTTTTATGCTATTATTCAGAAACAGTTGTCTCTTATGTTTCCTGTTGACCTGACTGTATACAATCTTCTTCTTTCCCTATTCGGGATGGTTTCATGCTGAGTGTGAAACCCTCTGCAGAGCGTTCTGTTAAATGACCTAAAGACAACTCCGGTCTGAGAAACTCTTAATTTCACATCTCGAGATAAAGTTCCACCACAGTACGCACTTCCAATAATTGTAGTATTTAATTTCTGCAGAAATAAAACAGAAGTTATCAGATAACTCACCTTGTGGGTTCTGAGTTTGAAACGACAAGGATGTTATAGTTTTTGCAGATGCACTTCACGAAGAAATGTGTAATTCTCTGTAACTCTCTTTATCACCCTCTCTCTTTTTACACACCTGTTGCGCGCACACACACACACCTTCTCTCTCTCTCTCTCTCTCTCTCTCTGTCTCTCAGGGAGGAAAGTGAGAACGTGTTGACCCTGAAGGGACTGACCCCTACAGGCATGCTGCCCAGCGGAGTGCTGTCTGGGGGCAAACAGACCCTGCAGAGCGGTGAGTGTTTCACACCCCTGCACACACACAGACACTCCTCAACTTCACCCAAGCACACCTTCCAAAGTAGATTTAAAAGACACACAAGCAGACACAGATTCAATTTGAATATCTGCTTTGGACCATCTTCCTTCCTGCCCTCTTTCCTTATCTCCCACTCGACTGCTGTTTTTCTCCTCTCATCCTTCTGCCTCACTGACTCAGTCACCCTCTCCACCTCACCTCACCGGCGCTGAGGATACTAACAGCCTGCTGGTTGTGTGTGTGAGTGAGAGAGAGAATAACCTTTATATTAAGGGACAGTATTGCAGAGACAGGCAGTAAGGGGACATACAGCTAAAGTGTGTATGTGTGTGTGTTAATAGCAGCTACTGCTAACTCTGACTGGTAACATGACCTGAGTGCTGAGACTGAAACATTCTTTTGAGTCTGTGAATCTGTGAAAGCTGAGCTTCCATGCTTGCACTCGTCTGCCACACAAAATGCACAAAACCATGATTTGTCAAAGCGGGACCTATTGCTGGCTTCAAATGGAACTTGTGATCTCCTGGTTATGATGTGCAAAGTCACATACACAGTGCACTAGGAATTTAAGCGGTAAAGTTGTAAGAACAGCGCTGCTAGGCAACAGCAAAATGGATCTTAATATTAACATTACTCTCGGCTAACAATTTAGCAAGCTCGCAATCAAGTAACAATCAGTGCAAAGACATAGAGACAGAGGGGAAAGGTCTATACGATTAAAAAAAGATTAACAACCACACCCTGAACCACTTCTGAGAAGGCAGGCCATGTGAAACCCTCATATGGAAAAAACGTGGAGCGAGAGGAGAGAAGGGTAGTATGCAACAAAGGTCCCTGACTGGATTCAAATCTGAGATGTTGAAATTTAAGATGAAGTTTTATCCCCTTGACAATCATCCCGCCCCTTATCATGTGTTTCCTCTGCCATTCTGTCTGAAATTGACTGTGTGCCTCTGCTCTTTCCTCCTGCTTTGGGTCCTGCTCATGCAAATCTCACAGGAGAAGGTGTTTTCAATTTAAATAAACTAAGGATCTTGCAATTTAGTTAGCAGCATTAATTAGCATATAGGATGTTAGACCTCTCTGTAGGGGATGAGGGGTGGCTGAGAGGGGATGGCAGAATTAACAGGTTATTAAGGGGATGGATTTTTGGTCATTTTGGATCAAAATGAACAACCTATTTGACATCTATCTGAGATTTGTGAGATTCCTCCTCAGGCTAGGATTTCCCATAACCACTTTTTTGTTTCCGGAAGCCAATACATTTACACATAACTGCACAGAAGCATGTTTCAGCCTTCACCCCTTTCTTTTCCTCCTTCTTTGCACTTCATCTTCTTTCTTGGACTATCATCTTCTCTCTCTCTTCCTGTCTCTTCTTTTATCTTTGCCCATCCTTCAGCTACCATTGAGGCCATAGAAGCCATCGAGACAGTTAAGGACGCAGAAGGTAAAATCCCACTCATTTCACTGTGTGTGTGTGTGTCGTGTTTGCGTACACATGTGTGCACATGTGTGTGGGTGTGCGTGTGTGCAGCATGGCTGCGCTCTCAGCAACCCATGCTCATAAGGTCATAGAATTTCCTTACCCACGATGCACTCAGCTCTTCTAACCGCATCAGCCTCTCACAACAAAGCCTAAAACTGCTCCGCGCTGAAGCCGCCACATAAAACAACACAAACATACACACATTTTTCTCTTTCCTTCACCTGGTCAACAGGAATCCTGCTACACCTGCTCTGTCAATGCACATACACACACATCACACAACCTTTTCTTACATACACAAGAAGAGCGGGACTGTGGGTGGGAGTGGGTGTTGTGAGGGTGGGCAAGACTCTTATAGTCTGTAGTGTGTTCTCTCTGTATTTCATAGGTACTGTAGTTCTGTAAAAAATGAACATGCAATCAATCTGTTGCTCTACAACATACAGCAGAACATCAGTCACTTGTGAAGCTATAAAAAAGAAGAAAAGTGTTGATGGAATTTGTTTAAATTTTTACAAACCAATTCTTTAAACTTTATCGGGGTTAAAATGGTCTGAATTCAAGGTTCAATTTAACTTTTCATGGAGCTTTCGAGCATATTCCGTGACCTCCTCCAGTAAATGGTCATATGACCTTAGCACAGAACTTCAGCCTGGTGAGTACAGAGGGAGGGTGATGAGACCTGAGACATTTGCTGAAGAAGACTGAGGATATGGTTGAAATCTCTGTGGAAGGCAAAGTAAATTAACCTTCACATGAATCACTCAAAACTGAGCCCCAGATTTCTGTGCTGCTTTCCAGTCAAAGTGCTCCTGCAACTATTTTTACTTATTTGCTGACTACGACGAAGTCAACCTTGAATTTTGAATATTTTACCACAGATGTGTTCCTGAGGTTAAGACTTAATCTCTAAATTTAAAACCTCAGCGTAAAGAAAAAGAAAGAATATAATAACACATAAGAAACTTGTGTGCACAGGTCTGCCAAGTTCTTCTGTGCTACTGAACAGATTGTGGTCATGGTGTTTGTGTTCTATTGTATTAAATACTCTGTGTACATAGCTGATGTGATAACTCTGCACGCTTAGTTAATTGTAGTCGTTTGTGTTTGTACCCTTATTGCTGTCTTTGGCTTACATGAACTACAGTCCATAATTTGTTTGAGCAAATAAATTATGGGAATCACTTGTGTTATATATTTCTGTTATGTAATATGACTTGTAGCTGTGTGTTGGCTGTCTGCTGTGTAACACAGTAGCAGACTGTATTCGTGAGTGTGCCGCATGTGTGAAAAGGTAAAATGACAGTAGTTGGTCCCTCCGGACACACCTCCGGGTCAAGGACTGCAGTTCAGCTGATTTCAAAGTGTCAAGTTCAAGCATAGTTTTTATGTAGAATGCTACAACAAGAAGTCATAACTGTCTCCTGCTCCATGCTTTTCTTTAGTTCACTGCAAGTCTCTTTAGACGACATTCCAGTGATTTAATGTTTAATTTCCAAGAAGTCAAGAGACTTGAAAAAGAGATTAAAACAAGATTGAGAGTCTAAAGCCAACCCAACACAATATATAGTTTGTCTGTATCTAGTTAGACTTGTTAATGTACTGTTGTGTATAAAGGAAGGTAATTTAAGGTAATTAAATGACAAGCCGAGCAGCGGGAGTAACCATCTTGGACAAATGAATGTGCCCGAGTCTCATTTACAGAACAGATTCTTTCCATTCAGCTGAGATTGCATGAATACTGTAAACATAACAGCTTTGTACTGGCAACTTTTTAAAGGAATTCAGTTCAACATTTTTTGTCTGTCAGTATTTAAATTAAGCTAAACTAATGGCTGGCTTGTTTTTGCATCTTATTTAACATAAAAAATGCGAGTAGGATTAATACTCTCATCCAATACTTGAAAATACTCCCTTCAAGACTGTAATAGTAAACTTCCTTAAAGGGATTGATTGTTCACCAAAAATACAAATTCAGTCATTATCTACATAATTTAATATAAATTAAATTAGTTTGATTCTTCAAACGTAAAAAACTTAAAATGCCTCTATACTGCTCCTGTAGTGTCATCCAAGTGTCAGCAAGCCCCGACATTCAATTCAATTAACACCATGTTTTGAGCCTAAATGTCCTCTGATATCCTCCTCTGGAGCCACGTTCAAGCATGGATCACAGTGGACATTTAGGCTAGAAACATGGTGTAAATCATTTCCTGTTGAATTTGGATGTCAGGGCTAACAGACACTTGGATGACGCCACAGGAGGAGTATGGAGACATTTCGTGTTTTCTTCTGTTGTTTTTTTATGTTTTCTAGAAGTGGTCTCCATTTATTTGAATTGTTTTGGATTTGGCTGTAAGGCTGTTTAACCCTATAACTCCAAAAGTGTTTTGTTGACTCATGTCACCCACCCCTCCATCAGCATAGTTGTGAGTAGATAATCAGTGAATGTTCATTTTTGGGTGAACTATCCCTTTAATGTGTAAAATCTGTGGAGTGCCCCTTTAAGAACTAAATTCTAGAACATGAATTGAACACACAGACATGGTGACTTGACTGTGTTAAGTTCAGACAAAAGACAAATAAGACAGATTGGATCAAACCAAAATGCAGAATATACTGTAGCTAACTTAGACAGCAATTTCAAACAAAGCAACCTGAGAGAAAAGGAAAACCTGACACCCGACAGTTGCTCTTCCTTTGAATTTTTGTTTTTAGTTCACAACATTTTAGTGAAACTGGTAGTTTATGCTCAATTGGCTCGAACAGATGGCTGACTGTCAAAAACTCCTCACAGAGGTGAAACATGTTTTCAGGATGTATGTGCAAGTGCTCCTGTGCAGCTTTGTTCCATAATATGTGTCATAGTGGCTCAAACCTACCAGACATCTCAGACTGCTGATCTAGGATCAATGGCCACGTCGCACTGACTGGCCACTGTGAGCTGTGAGGTCAAAGTAATCCTAGCTCAGCATTCAGACAACATATTAACACTGGCTGGTGTACAGTATATATATATATATATGTGTGTGTGTGTGTGTGTGTTTGTGTGTGTATATTGGTGTAGGAGCCCTGTAGATGTGCATATACTAGAGAAATGTGTCTATCCAAGCCCCCAAATGGGCTTCAGCTTGAGGGAGCACTATCAGTATCGAAATGTTTTTTGTAAATATTTGCATATTCACATTTGATAGTGCTCTGAATATGTGCTTAAAAGCTTCCAGGGGTTTGGATACACAAGATTCTACTAAATGTATTTTAAGATATTAACTCTGTGTGTATGCTTGTGTGTCTGTTTGTGTGTGTTCCTGTCTGTTTCTGCAGCCATCAGAGGCTTCTCCCCGCAGCATCGGATCAGCAGTTTCGAGGAGGCCAAAGGTCTGGACCGGATCAACGAGAGGATGCCACCGCGGCGCGATGCCGTCAACAGCGTGGGCCTGTCAATGGGCCGCATGAACATGGGAGAGCCCAACGGGACGGACAGCAACAGCAATATACAGTGATGGACATACACTCCCACATGCCCAGACACATACCTGCAGTTACAACACTGATATGGTAACATATTTATAAGATACCTGTACATAGGCATATATACACCAGAAAAACAGGCATCACACACAGACACAGTATTTCATACACTCAATAGGCTTCACACAACATCCCACACATATGCAAACAGACACACATGAGTACCTACCCCCCTTCCCATTGCCCTCAGCTGTATGTAAAGGCATGAGTGTACCTGGACTTTACCACCAAAGCCTGAGTCTCTTCACTGTACTGATCGGCCCTATTTAGAGAACTACAACTCCCATGTCACTGCACAACAGGAAAAGAACTACGAAAACAGTCCCCATGCTAAACAGGAGGAGCTGCAGTTCACCTCGTATGTTGGGGATCACCAGTGTAGGCATGACGTGGCTGTCTGTGGTGTGTTGTGTCAGACGGGGTCAAGTGTTTGCACGTGGGGGTGGGGGGGTTGTTAATGGCGATCAGAGTTGGGGGTTAAGATTTGTGTGGTTATTTTTCCACACTTCCAAAGGAAGTGGAAGCAAACCTTCGATGGGTTGATTTTATAGGGTTGTAGTTTCTCTTGCCTGCGTGCACATGCTTCAACATGTAACTGTCCGTGAGGTTATAATTGAAAATGCTCTCTGGGGCAGATCTCGTCATAAAGCAGGCAGTGGGTGAGAAAAGTTTGGATATGCAGTGTGGTGTGGAGGTCTATCTGTCGGCGTGAGATAATCTCAGCTGCCACTAATCTGAGCCCAAGTTGACCTTTTCTTCTCGGGAGGAGATTCCCGTTTGCTTTTGTAGCACTGCACCCATCCTCCAGCTGAAGTGAAGTGGAGGATCCCCCCCTCCCCGAACCATCCACCCCCAAAAACTCAGATCCAAGGCCAGTTAACTCTGGTGGAAAGGCCTGACACCTGGGCCGGATCAGATCTGAGGTGTTCCTGCCTACCTGTCATGTGTAAATAGGATACATAGAGAGGCTCTATTGCACATCTGATGCATATGATCACAGGATGCACGATGCAGTATAGTGGAAGTAAGATGCTTTCTGTCTATGAGGGAGTCGGGGGGAGTTGAAATGTGAAGTCATTCTCTATCCATTCTCTTTCTACATCCTCCTTTCTGTCTGTTCCTAAACAGCAGCGTTGGCAGGAAATTATATTTCACACAGGAAACAGACTCTTCTGGTGAAGGTAGCAGCTGAGACAACAAGAGGAATTCAGAAGAAAAGGTCTTTGTAAAGCATTTATATTAACGCATCAGTGCATGCAGAGTTAAGTTCTTTGATAATAATGTGAAGATTATATTTGTGCTCTGTGTTTCACTATAGTAGGAATTTTTTTCTTGTTTTCTGGTTGATATAAATGAACTGAGGAATAATGATTAATTTATTTTGTACATAATGTTAATTTATTTTTTGTATTCATTTTGTGTTATATTTTTTTTCATTTTCTTTTTCACAACCTGTGTTTCCGGTTTCTTTTGACGCTGTACAGAATGACAGTACGCTTCTATTCAAAGTGTCAAGTCCACGTTCTCTCCTCTCTTCTTTGTCGATGTACAGGAGTTGTTTTTAAATGATAAATATGAATAATGATAAACAAATATTAAACTAGCATTGATGAATGACCATACTATATACAGAGGCACAGGCATTCAGGCAGCCAAAAGCATGATTGCATGGTTAAAATTTGAGCTGTTCAAAGCAAAAAGCAGCAAGACACATTTTAACAGAAGAGCCGGTGTGTTGCCGTCACAATTTAAAGGAAAAAAGTGTACTCTCTCTGATCATGACTCTTGATGATTCCTCTTGTTATTTGATGATATTTATGATTCTATGATTATTATGATTATATTTATTATGGACATTATTCTTAATATTTAAGCTCTCTCTCTCTCTCTCTCTGCTGGTTGCTCTTCATGTTGCGTTGCTCCTTGGTTGATCTTGTTGTGCTTCTTTGGGAGAGGTGAACCCCCCTGGGAGACCCTGTGCCATAGAAATTGTGCCACGGTTCTTACTTTCTCTCTCTCTCTCTCTCTCTCTTTCTCTCAGTTTCTCAGTCTCTATATCTCTCCCTCTGCTCTCTTTCGGTTTGACTCCCCCAGTCACTAACACTGTAAGCATGCCCCATGGGACGATCCACTTTTTTACTCTTGAATAAAATATGCATGAACCTTTGGAATGGATACTGTGTCTTTATGTCCTCACGACTGAGCACACACACACACACAAGTCAAACCGACAAGACTTGTTACACAGTCGCCAAATAACAGAAGAACAATATGCTGAAAATGAAAATATCTAAATTTCTCTAGCCTCATTAGGCCTCATTCAGCAAACTTTCCTCATAAAACCCACTTTTGCAGTTTTTAACGAAGATTCTGACATTCACCAATGTTTTCTTATCTGGGATTGTTCTTATGTAAAAACAGAATCTAAGCACACTGAAGGGCACTCTTACGTACACTTGACAACTATAAAAAAACATTTAAATTACCATTATATTTGATATATAACATATTTCATTTTTTATTGTTGAGATGTTCTGTCCATGTGTGGCCTATTAATTCTGAAAACAGAACGATTTCTGTTCTGAGATGAGAGATGGTTCAGGAGATGCTGTGGTGTCCCTGTCCCTTCCCTCATTCTAGGGTAAAAATCAAATTTAGAACACACTAGTGAAAACATCGCTAGGATTATTTTTTATCCACTTTCTGCCAATAGATCCCTTTCACCTAAATCTTAAGCACCTAAAGCACACTGGACCTTTAAGAACGTGTCATGAATCTGACGTTAACTTCTCAAGGACAAATTTAAGAAAATAAGATACTGGTGAGTGAGGCCAATTCTTCCAGCACACTAAGTCAGTGGTTCTCAACCTTCCTCAATTGGGACCCATTAATATGAACCAATGTTTGACTGCAACCCTTTCTCACAACATGTATATATGCAAGCAGCTCAAATTAGGTATTACCTGGTCAATTCTCAAAAGTATTAATTAATCTTAATGAGTAAGTTAAGCAGCCTAATCCTTTCTTGTATAGTACTGATTGGTCTGTGGGTGCTGGGGTGAAAAAAGCTTCCATGTACATTGTGGGTTGATGGGAGTCCTGAGACAATTAGTTTTGGCTGATTGAGGACACTAGGCTCTTGTCAATAACAATCTGGGCTAACCTCCATGACAATGCTTAAACCCGAGAGCGAGTAACTTAAAGATTTTCTAATAAATCCAACAAATGCACCACTTAACTAAATCTTTTGGCAGATCAACACATTAAAAGCCACATCAAAGTAAAATACTACACTAAGAGACGCTTACAGTTCCCTCAAACTCCTCCACAGAGGACTTGTAGAGTCAAAGAGTGACACGCCTCATTCATTTTTTTACATTTTGATGTGCAGATGACGCAAAGAAGGAGGCTCCAACACCTGTTCAGTTGTGAAATACTTGGCAACAGTTCACACAGGAAGTCAATGTGAAACTTCAAGTACATAGTTGAAAACCTGTTATGAAGTGTTACATGTTATTTGTAGATTTTATTGTTAGAAATATCTGTGCTCTCTCTCTAAGCATCTGAAAACATAGAGGCACAAAATTAGGAGCAGTGTCACTGTTGTTGCTGACTGGTGTACAGAGCGGATGATGAGGCAAATGGGAACAGGTATTCAAATGATTCCACAGAAAGCAGATTTACCAGGAATTGAAAGTGAAAGTGTTGGACTGTGATAAAAGGGTTGCAAGAGAGGCGGAAGAAGAAGAACAGAAGAAGGAGTCTCTAATCTGGATCCAGAAAACTTACCACGGTGAGTCTTTTCATACATTTCTTTCTCTTGTTTGATTTAGAATTCACCTTTCATAGATTTAGACAAACCAGTCCATGTTATGTTAAGACTTTTTACATAACTTAAAATGAAGGACAAGAAAAGGTAACTCAAATCACAGACCTTTCTCCGGATAATGTTCCCAACTCAATGTGAATATGAGCTGCTACAATCTGCCATTGAAAATATTAGTGACACTGATCTGTCACCACTACACCGTGTTATTCCAGAGCAGTGATAACCGACCTGTCGATCGTGATCTACCGGTCGGTCTCAACAGTCTTCACTGTTATCAGGCCTGGACTAGACAAAGGACTCAGATGCAGAGGAATGACTGTTAAATCAGGCTTTATTTTGAACCCTGTTCAACCTCTCAGACAGAGTGACCAAAATAACAGGCTATGAAAAAAAAAATAGCTATCCGGTCTATGAAGCATTATCAAAAAATAAAAAGGAAGATAATTCTTCCAATAAACACAAACCCACCCTGTGAAGGAGGGAAAAAAAACACAAAATAAAACCAAAGAGAGATGTATGTAAAGAAAATGACTCCACTAGGAGGAAAACAAAAGGGCTAAGGACTATTAACTCAAAACACTCCCTAAGGAGGAAAAACAAACTTGGTTCAAAAAAAGACCAAATGAAAACACACTCCTAAAAATTGGAGGCTCTACTACTCACTATGAAATTCTTAACTAGAACAATAAAATCACTCCTACTAAGGCTTACGTGACGTGCGACGAGCAGAGCTGAGCGACAACATGGACTGTAGCTGGGGTGCATGGCAGACACGATACACTCAGGCACAAGACAAAGGCAGACTATAAAACACATGAAGGTGATGAGCTGCAGGTGGACACGATCAGACAATCAGAGCGGTGACACATGAGGACGGGCAAGTGACCTGAAACAAGAGTTAATTTTCAAAATAAAACAGGAAGTCAAAAGACGAGACAAAAACCCAGAACAAGACAAACAACTGTCGAACTCTGTAACTCTCTGGACTCACAGTCTGCGGTTGCGCCACAGATGAGCTGTGTGTCTGTTGTTCACATGCACTGTGTCCAATACTGGCGGCAGAGCTGCAGGTTTATCTCCTGCAGTTCCTTCAATACAAGTTGGGTTATTTGCAGGAGTGGAAGATGCATGGCTTCATGCTGTATAGTACTGGTATTTATTTGAGTACGCAGGACAATAGTCATATTTATGGCCATAATCCATGCAAAGTCTATGCAAAAACATTGTGCTGCAGTAGCAGCTCCTCTGCAAAACATATTGTTGAACTGAAGCTAAATAGTGCACATTGAACAGATGAATTGATATTAATGTGAATATTGTGCACTGAATAGATAAAGTAGTTTAACTGCCTTTCTTTGTGTATATTTATGCTCGTACATTGAGCCTTTAACGGAATTTGCCAAAATAATAAGTATGACCCTCCTAAGTTGTTTTTTTTGCAAGTTATCGAGGTGGTAGATCTCAGCTTTTGTTTGGAATTAAACAGTAATCTTGTGCTTTAAAAGGTTGGTGACCACTGTTCTAGAGACTGGTGACTCAGACAATTTTAAGATGTATTATAATTTTCCACAGAGGTTGACCAAAGCATCAATTCATTATACAGTGGCACAACTAAAGACAAACTTGCACCTGGAAACCAGAGTAAAAAGCAATGAGGCCATTCAGTCATTCGTGGCTGTTTGAGGCTCGTGTTTAAAATATTTTCCAAGGTTGGATCTGCTGAATTAGAAAGAAGGTGAACTATGTCATATTTACCAATTTTGTAAAAAATATATTAAAGATGATGACAATGTTAAATCTAAATATTAAATTTAAAACAAATGTCAAATGTTAAATATGAATGTTCAAAGTTGAATCTAGAAGGTGGGAGTTGTAGAACTTACAGACAGGAGCCCACTTGAGATGGTCCCAGTTCACCTCACTATTTATTTGGGTTTACCAGGTCTCTCCGGCAGTGTTCTTTGCCATCCGATCCAGCTCTGCTCTCCTCTTCATCTGAGCGTCCAATATATACATCCACAGATCTGTTGATACAACCACAAAGTCAATCAATGATCATTGGCCAATGGGGTTCTTGTATCCTTGTTCTTGTGAACAACCTTAAACTTGGACAACCATGGACTTTGTTATGGCCAGTCCAATTACAAGGCATCACACAGGTTACAATCAGGAAGGCCCTTCCTCACTAAGCTTAGCTCCACATAGCTTAGACTTCATTCAAAAGCTAGCTCTGCATAAGTGATACAACTGATTTTTATAAAAGTGCTCCCTGACTCCATATGTCTCTTCCCCAACAGATGCAATGCCACCGAGATCATGATGCTCTCATCCCGAAGCCTCGTGGGAATTTGCCAAAGGTGTGTGCAGCAGTGCTATCTGCCATAACAGTGGGCTGCATCATGTTTCTGTCTCCTGAAAGGTTATTTGGCTGGATTGCTATGGTAATACTCAACCTGACGCTTGGCCCTCTGCTGCACGGGCTCTTTCTGCTGGCAGAGGAGATGCTGTATCATTCAAACACAAGGTGAGAGATCAGTTGGAGTAAGAGAAGAAACACATATAAGTGTTCAATGCTTTTGGTTGTGTTTCGCTTTTGATATATCTTTAAACCAGTGGTCACCAACCTTTTAAAGCACAAGATCACTTTTTAATTCCAAACATAAGCCGAGATCTACCGTCCGCGGTATCTTGCAAAAAACCCACTTAGGAGGGTCATACTTATTATTTTGGCAAATTCTGTTAAAGGCTCAATGTACGAAGCCATGCATTTTCCACTCCTGCAAATATTTCATAATAAAAAAACAAAAGAATGGATTTGGACAACAGAAACGCTGGAGTGCTTTTATTTTGACCATGTGTCTATGTCACAAACGTATTTACAGCACTTCCTGAACCTGTTTCAAAGTAAAGGCACTCCAGCGTTTCACTTCTGAATCCATTCATTTGTTCTGAAAGGGCTTTGATTGTTATCGACTATTTTATATTCAATTTCTGTCAAAAGATCCCTTTCATCTAAGTCCTACACACTGGACCTTTAGCTCAATGAATTAGCACAATATAAGGCGCGTTGCTCAAATCAACTGACAACTAAAACCTGATTCGCAGCTCTATGTAGTGATGCTTTTCAATCCCTGCAACTTTACTGTCTGGTTGACTTTTTCCACTCTGGTCAGAATAAATCAGTTTTAAATACAAACCGTTTGCTGCCAAACCCTTTCAATACATGTGGCAACATGTAAACACAAGTCAAGGTTACCATCGATCTCAGTCACAGTTTTTTATTTTATTTGTTTTTATTTATTTATTTGATTAGGACAATGCACATTAATCAACATATCAGCAAAAAGCATCAATATAAATATGCTGGAGTTAGCAGCAATTGTTTGATTTAGGTCAAATTGCTAAACAGAGCAGCTTTTATGTTTTTTTTTCTTACCAGGTACAGAGGTAGAGGGCTGCTGAAGCATGTGCTTCCTGCCTGTGGTTTGGAGGTAAAGACTGTGCTGACTGCTGGGCTGGCAGGCCTTGTGCTCCACCTGGCTGGACATCCACTGCCACACCAAGGTCAGGGCTGGGAAGTCCTCTTCCTGGCCTCAGCTCTTTACCCACTGTTCAAAAGCCTAGGCGTCCTGGTGAGATCCAGACCTGACACACAAACACAACTGGTTTGATATTTTCTGGGGTCTCTTCCACTTTATTAATTTTTTTATTAATTTTAACCATTGCATGACAGATGTATGAGTGTCCTTTCAGGCTGACATTAGTACACAATAACACACTGAAGGCTGTAACAACCAACAATGTGTTTTGGGGAATGTTATTCATATGTAAGCAATTTGAAAAAACATTAACTACAACATAAAAAACACTGGAACAACAGCAGGCATCACTTAATGTAACTGTCATTATCTCTGGTAAGTACAGGCCTAGTTGACAGGTTAGGTAACAGCTCTCCGTTTATGTTTCAGAGAATATTCCTTATAACTATGAGACCGTGTCATTCAGTTTCTGCCTCACTACTCGTCACTGCCCCAGAAAAATGGTTCTGATGTGGCTGAGAGAAGCTAATCAAAGACAGTTTTGACAGGGTGAATGTTCAGTACTGTCACACGCAGACAGAAACGACACACCGGTGTTAGTACAACATCTCACATAACATCAATTGATTCATTTACCAATAGACATGATGACATTCGAATATCAAATCCCAGTATTCACAGCTCCAACCAAGTGCTGCAACAAGAGCAACATGTCTGTTTCACTGGACTTTACATCTAATGTGGCTCTGCATTGGCTGCTTCCACTGCTTTGCTTGGCAGTTTAATCTAATTGATATTACCCTAACTCTGCTCAGTGGTACAGCTGCTCTCCCTTTTGTCCACCTCTACTTCAAATTATTAAATTAGAGACACCTCTGATTACAAAAGACAAGATAGTTTCGATATGACTTTGAGCGTACAGGCAAGACTACAGGATCATTAGAGTGTGTTATATCATCCCAGACCAGACCAACCTCCCTTGTTATATATATCCTATGTAAAAAACCATCCTACAAAAAAGGCTAAAGATGTCTCCACTTCCTCCACTGTGACGTTTTATCCCTTTTCTATACCACCAAATAACAAATTAAAACCAGAATAATGAGCACTTGGATATACATTTGACGTGTAGTTTTTAGTGCAGTCCATGTCCCATATGGTTTCTGACCTATTTTACAGCAAGCCACCAGGGGGCGATCAAGACAATTTAGCTTCAGTTTAGGAAAAGCTGTCCTGTCGTCCATATTTTTATACAGTCTATGGTCTACTTTCATTTGATTAAACAACAGTAAACCCAACAATATTTAAATTCTAAATTTAAAAAAAATGTCTTGAATACTTAAACCTGTATCAATGAGTCTCCCTTCCTGAACAAATAAAAAGGGAATCTCAGTCTTTACAGAGATGTCATAATCCCAGTTACCTGTATTTTTAAAAATGTGCCAAGGTAGAAGTGGAAAAAAATGTTTTAGCAAACATTTAACAGTTCAAACAGAAGAGTCTATGTAAGAACACTTCTTGAAGGATCCGTTGATTGTAATTGATATATCTGGAGTAAAAATAGACTCAAAATTCATCTTCATCAGCGAGAATGACGATAGCACCAATTCTGTCCTGAAAGAATTGAATCATTTTGTACAAAGCTTCCCTCAGACTCTTTACAGAAACTTAAAGCATTATAGATGAGGTTCAGCCCTGTCTCTCTGTGCCCTGTTTTTGCCCATAATTTTATCTAAAAATATATCTGTCCTGAATAGGAAAGGGCAGCTCGAGTGCAGGGATGCCCTTTCCTCTTACCAAAAAGGGACAGGCAGCTCCCGAGCAGAGGTTTAGGTGTTTTGATGTCCTTCCAGCTGTTTATTTGGTCTGTGTGCAGGGTCCGTCGGAGGTGGAGGTGTCAGACATCTGCGAGGGGAGGAAGATGAACGTGGCCCACGGCCTGGCCTGGTCCTTCTATCTGGGCTACTTGCGATTGGTGCTGCCACGTCAGTAATGCAACAACAAACACACGATAAGCATTTGGATTATCCTCCTCATCTCTGTAAAATGGCGCTTAGCTTAAAATTATAAGTTTATTCTTGTAATATTACTATTTTATTTTCAAAAGCTTAAAATATTTTTTTCTTTGACATGGCCCGAACATTTAGTCATAGTATTGCACCTTGCACTGTGTTGTAGTGATCCTAGAGATATGAATGAAGGTGAATGAACAGACGTGTGTCCTCCCAGGTTTGGAGACTTCCATCGAATTATTTCGTTCAGCCCATCAATTCAACGGTTCCTCTTGGGGTCACGGCTCCAAGAAGCTCCTGATCCTCATTCCTCTCAATGCCAACATCTCTCACAAGCTAGAAGACGAGGACAACTGCATCACGTTTTACGACAACCTCCCAAACAACGAGATTGACAGGGCAGGGGTCCGGGGCCGAGTCTACAAGCACAGCGTCTACAGAGTGGCGGGCGAGGATGGGAAGGTAAATAACTGCGTGATTGTTTATTTCTTAAATTACACTGTTACAGGTTTACACATTGAGTTGATAAGAAGTTCATTTGTATCAGATTACAGGCAGATAAATATACCTTGCAGAGAAGCTGCAGTTTCACTGCTGAACTTCTTGTGCAGTAATTCAACTAAGTCGGTCCTTTTATTGCCAGTGTGGGCTGAGAGACTCAGTGTGCTGATATTTTCTCCTCTGATCAGATTTGTAAAGACTTATCATCTTGAATGCGACAGAGAGAGAGAGTCACAGGACTCAAGGGACTGTTTTGTATATTGTTTTTTTTCAGTATTTTAAGATAGTACTTCAATGTGTTCTATATTCAATGTTTTTTGATGTAACAAATCTAACAGTGACTGGGCTCAGAACTGGCTCTGTATTCCAGTGAAGGGAAAGGAAGGTTGGGGCTGCAAGAAAACATCCCGTGTTTCATGTCAGCCCAAAAATAGCCTGCAGTTATTTCAAAGTGATCACCAGAACAGATTTGTGGCTGTATTTCACACAAAATAAGATGATAAAAAAGTATTTTGATATGTGAAGTAAAAATCACACATTTTGTTAATATTTTGCTGTCTGTGTAAATCCTATTGTATTGCATTATTTGCATTGTGTTGAATCAAATTGAGTTAAGTGGTACTGTGTCGCCATAGGGCTGAATTGTATCGTATTGGTAGTTGCTTCATACGTCTCTTGAATGTACTGAATCGCTGGCAATGCATGGAGATGAGCTGCATCAGCCTCAGTAGTGGAGAGGTTCTGTACATCCCGATGGCAGCAGGACAATGAACACTGCTGTTCAGGAACAGTTTGAGGAACATGTGATGACAAGAATAAAATATTCAGTTCATACAATGCCTCCGCCTGAATTTTTCCCTTCCATACACAGCATAAGCACCACCTCCTGGTTGAACCTGATAATTCAACAGTGGAAGAACAATTTATTTTAATACAGTAACTACGCCATCTATCCGTCAAACACGGGAATCAAACATTTCTGGTGCTTTTTAAGGATCATCAGTCTACGGAATGTATCCACCTCTGTGTTACTCTTTAATGTGTGTTCATATTTGTGTGTGTGTCAACAGGACCGTGAGTGTGTGGTGGAATATGCCACACCTTTGCTGACACTCTACAACATGTCCCAGGAGAGCAGTGCTGGTTTTGGGGAGCCTGAGCGCAGGCACCAGGTGTTGATCTTCTTCAGGACCCTGCAGAACATCCTGGAGCAGTCGCTGGAGTGTCGTAACCGCTACACACTCATCCTGATCAATGGTCAGGGGTAACTGCTAACTGTGTGTCTGTGTGTGTTTGTGTCTTTTGCCACACAGTATGAGACAGATTGCTTTCAGGGGGATTTCAGTTTTTAGCTTATCCACAGACTGACAATCAGGAATATTGTGTTTATGGTGTATGACTAAAATGAAGAATGAAGATCAAGAATGCATATATCTTTGTGATTGTAATGAGAAAGCCAGTTTCAAAGCTCACTGTTTTAACAGACACACATTAAAAACATGGTGAACTCAAAACAGTGAAAGTAATTAGAGGCAGTGTGCTCGAACAAACCTCAGACTGTTTTCCTCTTCCTCTAGATGTGCCTAAGGACGACCCTCACTTCCTGTCTAAGACCATCCTCACACACCTGCAGCAGCAGGAGAAAGAGGAGTTCTGCCTCACGCCTTCTCCGAAACAGGAGATGATGAACCCATTTGCAAACACTTCAGGCGTCCAGCCAAGTGAGTTGCACCCAGAGCCAATGAGCGGGGAGCCCACAATCATGATCAGCCTCAACGACAAGCCTCAACCCCTGAGGGAACCTATTGAAAACAGCGATTATTAACATGGACTAACATAAACACATTCTCAGATACACAAAGTCAGAGGAACATAAACACACATGCACGCACGCACACCCACTATCATATTCTATTTACAACATACAAAATTCTTCTTACATCAATTTGAAGTCTGGATGTCTGAATTCAAATCTGAAAATATCAAATAAATAAAACATTTTTCTCAGAAAATTAGTTGTTTAATCTGAAATAAATAATTTGTTGACAGTTGAGCCTGACCAGTGACCAGACATGTCACCATAGATTAATATATGTACAATATATTACTGTGCGTGTAGTAATTGTGGAAACTATCACAACAAATGAATATGTACTGACACATACAATTAGAAATCTGTGTAAATTGTTGTCACAATCACTCCTCAGCATTGACAGTCCAACTGAATGTGAACAACTGAAAAGCTAGGACACTGGATGACACATCTCCACTTAGCCAAAATATCCCAGATACAAACGCTGCCATCTTGCAGCAAAGATGTCATTTGGAGTCAGTATCAAGGTCCCGTCAATACATGCGCTTGACAGAAGATGTCAATCATGAAATTTCACCCAGTTTTTAAAGCATCAAATAACAAATTAAATCAACATTTTAAAGAAATGAACACTGTGATAAGAACTACCTAAAATGACAGGAACCATCAGACAATTTTATTGAACTTATGCTTTGACTTTAGTTTGGTCCATGTCCCATCCACTAACATGGAGGAGGCACGGTTTTTGACTGTAGCCAGCTACCAGGGGGCGATTGAGATACTTTGACCACAAAGGGAGCAGTCCTGTCATCCATCTTCAAGTAGGGGACAGTCTGAAGAGGGACTGCACTATGCTTTATGCAACGTCAGTTCTGCAACTTGACAGAGTTGTTTAGAAGAGTTTGTCATTGTCCTTCCCTCTGAGGAGAACAGGACATGATCTACTGCCAACATCCTGTCAATACATAGTTAAATTAATCATCTGGAGTAGTACAAAGGCTGCATGACGTTGTGTACTCCTGCTGACGTTACCAGACGGCTTGCTGAATAGTCTTAGCCTCATTTCTAAATTTAACCGTGGTAATGTTTCAAACAATCACAGTGAATAAGTTAATACATACAAATTGTGACATAAATCCTCCACATGGGATTAAAGGCATGAAATGTGGATTTTATAATAAAGTAATTCACTATCATTTGAAGGCAACATGGGGAAGTCGAGTCACAGGTAGACCTGAACAAAGAGAAAAAACGGGGAAAAACACTGAGGACAGTGTAGGAAGGTTCAGATTAGCACATAGTGTTTGAAAGAGGGGAGGGGGGAGAAAACAATGTACACGTGTTTGAAGAATGTAAACAAAAGAAGCAGTCAGGAGACACCTGACACCACCACTTCTTATCTTCATATCACATGTACACATACACTTCATGACCCACAGCGCTGCAGCTGAAACAGCTCAGTGAAGTTGCATCAGACAAAAATATAATGGCAATCAAACAGTGAAGCATTGTTTGATTGTAGATTTGCAGGTCAGCATGAGGCTCTATGCAAAATTGTGGTCGAGGAAATATATTTTAATTTATGAAGTTTAACTGACTTGGTGTTACACTGTGATGATTGTGTATGCCAACTGGCACAACACATACACATACTATGTGTGTTTCTGTGGTGGGTTTATGAATTGTAAAATAATTGTATGTCTCTTTGTATTAAATAAGAGGAAATATGTTCCCAGACTTTCCATATTTGTTACTAGGACAACATTTTCACAATGAAACTATATAGCCTGATGTATATAATAGACTTTATTTATATAGCACACAATCAGTGTGAGAGAACTGCTAGTGGTTATGTTGCATGTTGCAGCTGAACAGCCATCACCTCACCCTTCAAACATGAAAGAACCTGTGGGAGCCTTCAGTTGTCATAAAAACTCAAAATGTGTTTAGTTTGTCCAGTTTGGACCAGGGTTATTATAGTTAAACTAAGACTAAAACTAAAACTAGCAATGAAAAAATAATTTAGTTAACTGAAATAAAAATAAAAACGACAATTACAAAAAAAAACAAAAACTAAATAAAAACTACAATGAACAACGCAAAACTAACTAAAACTAAACTGAATTGCAGATAAATTCAGCTTAGTTTTCTCCCTCGATTACTGCCTGTCCTATAGGTCATGGTTAAAGAATGACATTAAAGGACTTGATAAACCATATTTGGTGTCACACATTGGTTCATCCTTTTTCAGCTTCTACAAGTCAAGGCTTTCTCTTAATACCTGGAAAAACTAAAACTAAGACTTAAACTAAATAAAAACTAAACTGAAACTAGTCGATTCCTGAAAAATAAAAACTAAACTAAAGTTACGAAATCACTTGTTGAATAAACTAAAACTAAAATAAAATAAAAAAGCAAACTGAAAGACTAAATAAAAATAAAAACTAATGAAAATTTTTAAACTATAATAACCTTGGTTTGGACGACTGTAAAAAACATGGCGGCCTCCGTAGAGAGGAGCTGCACCCGATGTTAATATATAATTATATATAAAATAAGAAAACAACAATTTGTATAATTTAGATGAAACACACTAATGAAAACATCACTAGGATTACTATATATCCAATTTCTTTCAATACACCCCTATCACCTAAATCTTGCACACTGGCCCTTTAAATAATGTTTTAAGCTCATTAAAGTTAGGAATGAAATCAAATGTTAATATTTATTTTGAAACCTATAAGTCAGTGAAAGGCAGCAACAACCAGTGTGATAGTTTATATTTCCTTGATCCTAGTTTGACTTTTCTCCTAAGATAAGATAGAGAACCACAGTTTGTTTTAATGATGAATAGTGAATGTGTTTCATGGTGGTGGCAGTTACTATGCATAAGCGTCCTTGTGTTTGTGTTTAGTGGATACGCCTCCGGTGCTCCACCAGGTGTGTGTGTGTGCGTTTGTGCACGAGTGTCTGAATGACGAGTGTCAGAAAATCTTACTCACCTGTGAGTAAGGTAGGGCTCATACCATGTCTAGACCTGACACACACACACACACACACACACACACACACACACACACACAGACAGACAGACAGACACACACACACACACACACACAGACAGAGACAGACACACACACACAATAAGTATGTCTGCAAGTATTGATTACTCTCTATATTACATCTACATCTTGATTTATCAATTTGTTGATGAGCTATGAAATGTCAGAGAAATGCAAATAATGCCCATCACACGCTCTCAGATCCCATGTCTGTAACTGTCAATCAATCAGTTTACTTCAAAAATGTACTGATTCAGCTCCAGTATTTAAGCTGTATTAGTTTTAGCTAAGTGTGCTTTATGAAGTGACACCAGTGTGTGTGTAAGTGTCATTTGACATTTCCTTACTTTTACTCACGTGAAATGTGAATACTTTGAATACTTTAAGCACATTTAAAAGTATCTTCTTACTTTTACTCAAGTATAAAGTGAATGGGGTACTTTTACTTTGAATACCTAAAGCATATTTGAAAGTACTTCCTTACTTTTACTCACATAAAAAGATAATGGGGTACTTTTACTTTTAACACTTTAAGCATAAAGGTACTTTTACTTGTAATACTTAGTGTATTAAAAAGTACTCAAGTAGAAGAGTGACCGGGTTCTTGAGGACCCTTCTGTCAGTGTATCGGTACTTTAACTCATAGTACATGTATTCTCTCACCTGTGTGATGTCCGGACATGTTGCGTGATGCTCCGGAACCTTCTGGATGGAAGCGGCCAGCTCCGCCCACACGTGAGGCGGCTCAGCTGACGCAACCCACCGGCCCTCCGGTTTAAAAGCTCCGCTCTCTCCGCCTCAGCTCATCACACCGACTTCATACATGGAGGAGACACACCACGGACGCTCGGAGGAGGAACCGGAGCTCAGCCAACACGAACCAGAACCAGGATGGTGTTTACCGCGGCCCTGCTCTTTGGACACGGAGCGTCCGTCCTGACGGAGCCGGAGCCCAGCGTTGCGGACATGATAGGAAAGTACTGGTCCCAGCTCACATCCCCGGGCACCCGGGGCGGCTCTGCCCGGCGGGGGAGCGTCGACAGCTGCGACGAGAGAGAGAACAACTCACGCTGTAAGTAGTTTCAAAAGTTTCATCAAGTTTAACTCAGAAATTCTATCAAACAGTCAATTTAAAGACAGTCAGCTCCAGATGACCCCCATAACTATCACAGTTAAATATCAATGCGCTAACTGAAGTAAAAGAACCTTCATTAGAAATGGACCTATACTATTTGGCGGAGTGACACTTTAATTCCCTAATCCACCTGACGGGGATGAGTCTGATGTAACTGAATCAGATCTTGGATCAGCTGATGACACGCTCAGCTGTTCACTGCTCTCAGCTGCTGATTCAAACATCACTTCCTGAGTTTCACTATTGCATCATGTCACGTGATCATGGTGAAGTGTGAAATGACAGCAGAGGTCAGAGTCAGTCTGAAGAGCTGCTGGTCCAATTAGAGCGTGTCACCACAGAACTCTGATGTCAGCAGCGATATTAAAGCAACACGCAGTAACTGTTCCTGAGCAACAGCGCCCCCTGCCCCCTCATTCAGTCTTTAGGCTGTTTCTCAGGGATTGTTTTCATGTCGTGAAATGTGTTGACAGTTTAATCTCACTGAATTGAAACACAACTAAACCGTGGATATTACCCATGATCCTCGACTTCCAGAAGAGCTGCTGCTGTAACAAATGCACCAAAGGTTTAGGATGTTTAGGATTCTATGTATTTTAAGTTTCTTTGGTGACTATTGGAGAAACTGTTTTTTTTAATTACTTCTAACTCTTCCTGATCACTTTCAGTGTTACTCTTGAACTTGCTGCATTCAGAGTGAAGAGTAGGAATTTTATTTTAAAGTAAAGTTGCATGTTTTTTTAAGTGTGTTTTTGTGAATCATGCCACTTGTTCTAACAATACTCTTTATCTTTCCACAGTTTCAGGCTTGGATGCTGGTGTGGAGCATGAGGAGCGGCTGCTGCAGCAGGATGTGACCCGGCAGATTGAACGCTGTCTGACAGAGGCCAAGGCGTCCAGCCTCCACTGCCAGGTGCTGCTGCTGCCCCACCAGATGACCATGAGGGTCAGCCAGGACGTGGTGCGTTCCTCGGTCGACGAGCCCTGTGGGCTCCGTGGCGCCTCCATCGCAGTCTACGTGGAGTTCAAAGATGGCCTCAAATCCGTGGGGAGCATCTTCCCTGACACGAGCATCATCCCCACCTTTGAACTGTCTGTGATCTTCAAGGCAGATAAAGACGACGGCTGGCCACAGTTCAAGAACATCTTTGATACCAACAAAGTGTTGAAGCTGAGAGCAGAGTACCGGCTGGTGAAGAGGAAGCTTTACTCCTCTGCCAGTCCAGTCATCCATGATTTCAGCTATGGGCGAAGTCAAGATAGTAAACCCATGATTCACTGTTAACCTCTTGTGTTTGTATGTTTTTCATGTGTCAAATATCAGGCTTCATGCACAGTCTGGCCTGGTGTGCACTGTAACATGCTTCTGTGTTGTACTTCAAGTCTTAAGCAGATTTTTAGTTTCACACATGATTGTATAACTTGTTTTTCTACTCTTTAGACCATGTGACTGTAGTATTTTGTTGCAGTTGAATGTTGCAACATACATTGTCAACATGGAAATGTCCTCTCAGGAATGGGCAGGTCTCACTCCTGAAATATGCTGTACTTCTGTTATTTAAGTGATTTTTAAATAAATGTGACATTGTTTCATAGTCTTGCACTTCAATGAGTTTTAATTAGCTTATCTCCACCAGGTAAAACTTGACCATATGTCAAAATAATCTTGGCAGGAGAGAAACAAAACATCTCTGACCTGATTTAAGCTTAGATCAAATCTTTATTTAACAAATGTACAACAGAACACGTGATACATGTACCAGCTACCAAAACGAAAAACTCTACATGATAAGTCACTAGTACAAAACCAGTTTTTGTACTCTCAGCTAACACAAATGATTCTTATGCTATTTACATAGCACACTGGCTACATCCTAAGTGACAAGTGGGGATGCATCAATACTAATTCGGCAACAAAAATCTTCATTCTGTGTTTTAGCCCTTTTAGCGCAACACAACATAGGATTTATGAGTATTGATCATTTCACTAAGCACACGTTAACTTCTCAGATTGAATATCTACTTCACAGGCAGCTATTAACCTCAGTTCATTTATAGGAACTGATATGAAAACCGTCAGTGATTTCAGTGACTGAATTTAGGACTGGGTGATAAAACAATCCAAATCTCATCAATAGCAGTAAAACAAAGGTTCTATAAATCTTTATGCGTCTTGCAGCACAGTGAGGAGGCATAACAGATAATTAAAGTCCCTCATATTTGTAAAAACTTAATATGCCTGAGTTTACCTGGATGCACAAGCAAGGAGATTAAATACATAAAATGATCACTAACAAGACAACAAATTGTTGAACAAGAGCGATTACATAACTCAGGCATGTTTCATTTCTGCCTGCAGATTATGAGGTTGAATTTAATTAAATATGGTATTTTATGGAACCTGCTCCTGGTAGGTAGTCTAACATAAAACATGTGCTTTGGAAAAATATCAGCCGAAATGTAAAGTATATGTATTTTGCAGTTAATGAGCTAAAACATGTTCCTTTAAGGAAAACTGATTGCAGCAATAAAGTAAGGTTATAAACGAAGCAGATATAAATAACCAGTTTAGTGACATGATCTGATTTTCTTAATTTAATCACCTTGGTTCCATCAATGATAAAAAATCCTGACCAGTCATAAAGATGTGATTAGTGGTTCTAACTGCAGTGATCTGACTGAATGATGATCTGAGCTCCATCATTATGAATTTGTACATTATTATTTGTTGTGTGACCATCCTGGGAGTTGTTGCTGTCTAATGTCTTTTCGCCCCTAATGGCTTTTGCACAGGTTGGTGCAAGATTAATGATCAGTCACTGACTAGTATTGATGCGTCCACCATTCAACATAACAATCCGGTGAGTAGAACTCATCTGTCCTTTATCATTTGATCCCAAACACGTTTGCTGGTGAAAATGTTCTTTCTCTCAGTCCTCTGCTGTTCCCTCTCAGCTGGAGGAAATGATGGCCAACTACCTTGGTCTGGTGAAATGATACTTGGGGAAAGTGGTGCGCTGGTTAGTCTTGTCCTGGAGTGAAATCCTATAGTGCTGCACACAAATCATATGAACCAGAGGAGAGGAAGCTCTATGCAGCTCTGTCAGGTCCACTGGCTGTCACACACTGACACACATACCCTCATCTACTCCAAAGCACGGATGACTACGTGTGTGTATATATACACACACACACTTTGAACCAGGCACACAGAGTCTGCTGTCCTCTTCACAAAACAACCGAAGAGACCAATAAGTATTCAGCTCCACCGCCTCTGATTCCAAAAGTGGCTGTTTGTCACCCATAGCATCTCCTTCGCTGAAATTTCGGACTATTTTTTCATTTTGAGGTCCGCCTCCATGGCACTGCGTCGCCCCCTGGTGCCTCCGTCCTGCAGCAGGAAACAAATGGGGAGAACAGGGAAAAAGAAATAAAGGAGAAAGAATTAACATGGGAGTGGGCAGTGTAGTGGTCAGTTGGACAGTGTGAAGGGAGGCCCTGAGGTGGGCCTCCTCACGTGATAGAGGTCCGCACAAAAACACAGCACAGTCCACTTCGGAGGGCTTCCTCCCCAAATGAAGAACAGAAAAAATTATGATGAGAAAGAAAAACATTTAAAAGTAAAAAGAAGGAGAAAAGAAATTAGAACATGCAGAGACATGGACAACCGCACGAGAACAGAAAAACACAGGAAACCGGCATGGGTCAAAAACCGAAGGTCGACTGAAGCTGGGGTGATGGAAGGAGCCTGTGTGCGTTGATGTTTATGAGGGTGACACAAACAGTGAAGTTTGATGTGTCTGTGTGAGACACTGTAGAAAAGAGCAAGAGTGAGAGGTAAAGGAGTTCTTCAATTCTTATCATTTCTACAACCACGTTTAGTATCTGAATGACAGTAGCACTACAGTCATCACAACTGACTGGCCTGTATAACTAGTTTCCACAAACAGGAAACTCAAAGACACGTCAGGGGGTCAGTCCAAAGTCTGACATGTTCAGGAAGTTTACTGTTTTACTTTAAGCAAAGCTTATTTAAGAAGACCACAAAAAATCTATTCTATTCTAAAAGCCATTAAAATCAGAGTTTTCTCATGAGATATTTGTGTTCTTTTCTTCTCACTGGTCTGAAGTGGGTGGGGCTCAGTTTGGAAAAGGTGATGTCACCTGTTTGAATGCACCAATAAATAATTGCAAAGTAAAAGAACTGTTGCAGGACTCTGAAGTTAACAAGTGAAAGTGAAGAAAATAAAACAACAAGAGATTATCAATTCATATATCAATATCAATTATTTCCAACTTTAACTTAAAAGATGAATATTATCAAAATATATCATATAAAAATAGATATTTTAACTCATAACACTTTGATTAGGATATTTTTGAGAGTTATATTATTGAATAGCATCAATAAAGCAGCTCTTATAATTATTTAAATCCTCACAACTTGTATTTCTACATCAGGTTTGCTTCATTTAATTCAACTAAAATACAATTGAACTGAGAAAAAGAAAAGAGATGAGCAGTACAGATTAATGCATAAAGTGTGTGCGCGCGCTGGCGCTGAGACAAGCATGTGCAGAGCGTGTCCTGGTTCTGGTGAAATCTGAGGGAGGACCTGAATACTTACAAAGAGAGAGAGAAGGAAAGCAGGAGAGGCCATTGGGACACTGTCCTGTAGGAGGACAAACATTGGAGTGAGAAAGAGAGAAAAGACACGTGCGTGTGAAGCAAGTTTCATACAAGTCTGCGTCAAACAAGGGAGCACGCCGGAGGATGGGGAGTCCATTTGACCGCTGCACAGCAAAGACACAAAGACACACACACAGAAAGACAGATATCCATCCACACTCAGTCAGATCGTAAATAGAGAGATTAATGACAGACACAAGAAGGCAGGCACACATGCACACCAATACGTCTTCAACAAGATTCCATCATGGCTTGTGAGGAAAAATATCATGACTCTCATTCAGTTGTATGAGCTGCAATATATTTTAACATTAAAAGTCAAGTTCTGAAGATAATGTGACTCATATCCACTCCAGCTGAGCATGCTGTGGAGAAACAGCCAAATGATTAAAACACTTCATTAACTCATCTAAAAAGTTTTTGGGACATCCCAAGACGATTAAGCACATTCCTGAATATTCTCTTTCCTAAGATAACTTCTTCAAAATAAAACAGTACTTCCAAAAAAAGCGCCATGAGTCAAACAGACCCTGTTAGACTCACACCCACACATTCATGCATTTAGGTCAGACACACAAACACACACAACAGCAAATAATGGAATTCATAGCAGACAGAAAGCAGCCGGACAGCAGCAGACAAACAGCGGAGTCAGGGACAGACAGAAGTTAGCGAGGAGAGGAGCAGCCAGCATGCAGGACATGAATCAGCGAGGGAGTCAAGACCAGGAATCATTTTTCTGAAGCACAATACAGCAGGCGGAGGGAAGTGTTGATCAGATCTTCCATGTATTCAACAGTGTGTGAATGTCTGGCTCTTAATTTTGAGTAATTATTCAAAATATCTATTCCTAAATATAAAAGTACCATTCATATGACAAGATACATTGTCAGTGGAGAGCCTGAAATATAAAATAAAGAAGTAATGGTGAGCAATCATGTTGTCAGCTGAAACACCATGATTTTATATGCATTTTCAGCACCTACCATTGTGTATTTTGTGATGCTTCAAACAGCAAGTTGTTTTGTGATCATATGATGCGTTTACATAATCACACTCAGGTTTAAGAGCTGCTACAACTTTTAAATGTTTCACTTTACATATAGTGCGAAACACTGAAGGCAACAAAAATGTTGTTAGATTTTTCCTGAAATTTTCCAGAGCGGCTATAAGTGAAAACACAAATGTCTGAGTCCGTTGCTCTGGATAGTTTCCAGCCAGCTCCCTAGGAAAATGTTTGGAAAATGTCTGAGTGAGCCCATGTGAGAATACAGCAGGAAAATGTCTGGAAAGTTACAGTGAGTGTGTGTGCTGATGATGCTACTAACATGAAACTGAAAGAATACAAATATCTCAGGACAAAGAAGAGATGTCAGACATGTAAAAGATGCGAACAAAGATGTCAAGTTGATAAGAACAAGATTTGAGAGTTTTTGGCAATGGGGACCAACGGTGAAATTCTCAGGAAAGTTGCGGAGACGGCAAGAGACTTGCTTGGATTTTGTACATCGTGTCCTGCTCTACATACTTGTGAACTCATCTGACTCTGGCAAACCCTCGAAAATGTCCGGACCCACTTTTCAGCACATTTTCCAGAGTTCATGTCTGAAAACGACTTAAGATGATTTTGGTATTTAAAATTCTACATGAAACCAAAATGCCAGTGCAAGAATGTAAATAATCTGTTCAATCCAGATCTGAAAACATCATTACAACTGTACTTGTTATTTGAGGAATGACACACATATATTAGTCTTTCAACGATAAGCTGGAAAAGACAGCATTACCCTTTATCAGTTGTATACTGTTTCTGGGATGTCAACAGCTGATATGGTTGCAAAGCTGGACTTTCCCAAGTCACATGTGAGTCTTAACGAAATGATCCGCCTGCTTAAAAAACCTGATC